TAATCTACGTCAAAAGACAAGTCCAGGAAAAATGTTTAGAGCAGAACATAGCTCCCTGTGCAGTTTTCATTGACCTGACCTAAGCTTTCGATACAGTCAACAGAGTTTTTGAGGAATAGCCCTGTACTCTCTAAGCTGTCGAGAATGGTTCATACAGATCATGTGTCTGTTCCATGCAAGTGCTCATCAGTGGAGAAGAGGGTGACTCTTCTGATGCATTTAAAATCTCAAATCTAGTGAAACAAGATTGCATACTTGTTCCATTGCTATTCAGTTTTGTCCTCAGCCATGCCACAAGGGACTTGGTTCAGGGCATATCCACTACTACCTTGATGGCTCCCTCTCCAAGACCAAGTTGCTCAAGAGACTTCCCTTGATGGCCCACAGACGTGACACTCTTCAGTCGTTGCTGATAGGTTTTCTGATGCGTCCTAGCTCTTTGGCCTCACCTTCACTATCGGGAAGACAGAGGTGTTTCTCCAACCAGCACTTCATTCCAATGTCCCAGTTCCAGCCATCTTCATCCAAGGCACAACATTGAGAAATGTGTATCAGTTCAAGTATTTGGGCACCATAATCTGGAGTGTTGGTTTCCTTGATAAGGAAATTGCATCCAGAATTAGTAAAGCAAGCCAGGCCCTTGACTCACTCGAGTAAAAGTCCTTAACCAACACAGCATGTGTGTCTCCACTAGACATGTTAGATAGTGTGTAATTGAATAGTTGTGTAACCACATCAACTTTTAGCAGTTACACAACTATTCAGTGTTACCAGCAAAGGTGGACTAGTAAACGAAATGTAATGGGGCCTGCTCTTATTAGATGTTAAAATACCTTTGTTCCCAGAAGGAGGTCCGGCCTGGAAACCACCGTATCTGTCACCGGCAGATTTACCCCCAGTCCCGTTGAATAAACACGGACACGTATCAGATTTAAATTTAAAAAGGTATATTAAAATACAACAGGCAAATAACAACAAAACACCGAACTGATAACCCAGCCCCTCACCCTCTGAAATAAAAGAATACAAGAGAGATGACTGAAAGCAGAATGATATACAGTACTTAGTCCGTCAGAGGCAGCTTTGATGGGCAGGACCTTCTACTCTTTAGCTTAAGGCAGCTGTCAGGAACACTGAGGCGTCCTTGAGGGAGTGAGAGGCGCTCGGTACCACGGACGGACACGCAGCTGATAACCCAGCCCCTCACCCTCTGAAATAAAAGAATACAAGAGAGATGACTGAAAGCAGAATGATATACAGTACTTAGTCCGTCAGAGGCAGCTTTGATGGGCAGGACCTTCTACTCTTTAGCTTAAGGCAGCTGTCAGGAACACTGAGGCGTCCTTGAGGGAGTGAGAGGCGCTCGGTACCACGGACGGACACGCAGTTCTGAGGACCTTCACTACAGCAGGTGCCGAACGATGTTGATGCTCTGTGAGTCCCGATGTAGGGAGCAATCAGGTAGCCAAGGCTCACTATTACTGGGCTATCGCCACAGTGTGGGTCGAAGCACCCTGAGGGTGGCAGGAATGGAATGGGTCGATCTGTCAGCTCGACTGGGCCTTCACCACGGTCTCCCGACTAGAGGTCTCCTCCTTCCGCAATGGTGTAGTAAAACTGCCGGCCCAATCTCCTCAGGATTCTGGGTTTTATAAAGTTCAAGGTGGGGAAACTCTAAGCATCTCTCGTGCAAAGCAGGGTGTAGGGCTGGGTGCAAAACTAGAGTCGGGTGCAAACTTTTGCACTGTGTGCAGCACGGTGGTGCAGTGTGCACAGCCATGTGCCGTGTGCAGATGGTAATTTTGGCGGCAAAAGCTTTTCAGGTTCCCATTTTGAATTGTCCCTCAGTCCACAAACTCCATTTTGAATCTGTTATCTATAGATGTTATGTTGTCCATATGGTACACTGTTCAGGGTTAACAATAATTTCTGGAGGCCAGTAGCCAGTGCACTCCAGGCGAGCCCTTGTGCCTTGGAGGCAGCAGGGCAGGGTGCCAGCAGCCTGTGTCTGCAAGAGCCCCGAGGTCCCTGCGGACCGAGCAGCCTGCGTCCTCGGGGAGCTCAGCCCTCTGTGAACAGAGGCTGCTTCATGGCAGCCTCCCCTAGCCCTCCTCCCTCCTCTGATAGATGCAGCAGCATGGGCAGGCAGAGCTGGTGCTTGTGGGGAGCCAGGTGGTGCTCGGTGGGAGGCAGAAAGGGAGGGGCAGGTGGCTCCCCACATGTATTGGCTCCCACCTGCTTCCCACACCCACACTGCTGATAGAGAGGCAGCAGCATGCGGCGAGCTGATTTCAGAGCTGGCTTCCTGCATCTACCAGCTCTCGCCTGCCACCCTCACCCACTGTGCTGCTGCCTCTCCATCAGAGGCATCAACGCAGGGGTGGGGATGTAGCAGGCAGCTCTGCGGGATCCAGTGCTCATGGGGAGCCATCTTAAAAGCTGGTTCCCCACAGGCACCACTCCCGCCTCACCCCCATCCTCCGCTTGCTGCCTCTAATACAGAAGCAGTGTGTATGTGTGTGTGTGTGAGGGGGGTGCTTGTAGTCGATAAGGATTATTGGTTAATCGTGTAGTCAACTACACTTTGGCATCCATACCTTCAAGCCACAGTGCGTTAAGTACAAATGCTCTTACTACTGCTAACAGAAATAGCCTAGTGCGGCGAGCTGATTTCAGAGCTGGCTTCCTGCATCTACCAGCTCTCGCCTGCCACCCTCACCCACTGTGCTGCTGCCTCTCCATCAGAGGCATCAACGCAGGGGTGGGGATGGGCAGCTCCATGGGATCCAGTGCTTGTGGGGAGCTGGCCTAAAACCTGGCTCCTTATGGGTGCCAGTTTCCCCCTTCCCCACCTTCCCCAGCTGCCTCTGATACAGAGGCAGGAAGCGGGGGGGAAACATGTATAGTCGACAGGCTTATTGGTTAATCGTGAAGTCATCTACATGTTGACATCTCCACTAGGGATGTGATTGGTTAACCAGTTACCTGGTGGGCTGGAGGACCCCCTCCTGTTTGCTGTGAGCAGGGGGCCTGCTCCATACCTGCAGAGCCTGCTGCGGGTAGGGGTGATCCAGCCTAGCCAGAGCAGCCCCCACTCATAGCAGGGGGGCCCCTCCAGCCCAACTGGGTCAGAGTAGCCTCCCTGCCTGCCCCTGATTATCTGGGATATTACATCACCAAAATGAAGATTTTACAGTGTAGTAGTTCTAATAGCCTGTATGAATCCGAGACTTGGACTCTTTATATACGTTAAACAACGTGAGCAATTTCATCTGTGCTCCCTCTGCTCAATAAGAGCATTTGCTGACAGAACTTAAACGGAAGAAGCGAGCTGTGCCCACGAAAGCTCATGATACCAGCTACATTTTTTGTTAGTTTCTAAGGTGCTGCTTGACTATTTGTTGTTTTTAAAGTTTTTTCAGTTATAGACTAACACAGCTACCCCTCTGAAACATTTGCTGGCAAGACCGGGTAACTAGTATTATGGTCCTTGAGCGAATGGACACAGCCAGTGTTGAGGAAATGCTACTGAGAGCACGATTTAGGTAGACTGGACATGTCAGCAGAATGGAAGACAACCCTGCTCCCCACACAAGATCTGTTTTGGGAGACAGTGAAGGCAAGAGAAAGATGTCCTCCATATAAGCACTTCAAAAATAACCTGAAGAGCAGTCTCCGGTTAGCTGGCATTAGCCTCAAAGAACTCACTGGCATATAAGGAATGGCCAGCATGATTTTTCAGTAACTGATCATGCCAAACCAAACTCATTTCCTCCTTTAACGGGTGTACTGGCTTACTAGGTGTGTGCACAACTTGTTGAAGGACCCCACTGAAAGAGTAGTTATCAGTAGTTCGCTGTCCAATCTGGGGATGTGTATCTGCTAGAGTCCAGCAGGGGTGAGTCCTGGATCGGGTACTAGATTTTCAGTAATGACTTAGGTAATGGAATGGAATTTGTATAAAGTGAAGCCCTGTTGAAAGGGCTTGCAAGCACTTTGGAGAATAGTCTTAGAAAGCAAAATGATCTTGAGAAATTGGAGAATTGGTCTGAAATGGAGATGAAATTCAATAATTAATGACAAGTGCAAAGTACTACACTTAGGAAGGAAAATAGCAAATGCACAAGCCAAAAAGGGAAGCAGCTGGCTGCGTGGTAGTAGTGCTCAGAAGGATCTGGGGGCTGAAGGGGGATCACACATTTAAGATAAATCAATAATGGGATGCAGTTGTGAAAGACTAATATGACCCTGTGGTGTATTAATAGGAGTGTTGTATGTAAGACCTGGGAGGGGAACTTGATACTGGTGAGGCCACAGCTGGGAGCATTGGGTCCAGTTCTGGGTATCACACTTTGGGGATGATGTGGACAAACTGGAGACAGTTCAGAGGAAGCCAGGACAAATGAAAAAAGGGTTAGAAAACCTGACCTATGAAGGGAGGTCTTTTTTAAAAAAAAATTACGTTTAGTCTTGAGAAAAGAAGACTGTCTTGTTACAGTTTTCAAACATGTTATCTGTTCATCACTCTCTTTCTAATAACCTTCCTCTGTCCACTGAAGGTAGGAGAATCCTATGGAAAGGTAGAGATAAGTCCGCCCCCGTCCCAGGCTTTGGAATCTATGGAGAGGACATTTTGTATTATACAATCATTATTCATTGTCTGGTTCTAATGTTGTGTGCAAAAGCTACGATTTCCCACAGCAGAGTTGGTTATATTTCCATGATGGGCACAGTATTTCCTATACATAATGTGTTAAAAGTGTCTTGGGCTGGAAGGCATTATATAACTGAGGGAGCCTAGGAAGAAAAAGGAAAAAAACTCTGTTGACTTGTTGGCCTTGGAACTTGGTCCTCCACTTTTGATCCGGAACCACTTCTTTAGCTCACTTTGTAGATGGTTATATTTGTTTCTAGGATAAATGCATTGAAGGATACTTGATAAACTGGGAGTGTTTTGGTGAACTTGTGAAACTTACGAGCTTCATTCATTTTCCTTTTAGATTTTTTTTCTTCTCCCTCCCAATGTAAAGTAAGCTTGTATTCTCTGAAATGGCAACAACTGGCCAAACGCAGGAGGGGGAGCTCAACCGGTGTCACCTACGCAGTATAGGCCGCAAAGCTTCTGTCTCCGGTGTTGCAGAGATTATCCAGTGAGTATTCTGTCAGACAGCTCTTGGGCTGCTCTGCTTAAGAATGAATACTGCGTGCTAGCATTTGTATTTTACAGGCTGTGTTCCATGTTAAATACAAGTGGTGATGATTTTATGAGACTACTAGGAGATGATTGTAACGGTGCGAGTCTGATTTGGTAGAATATGTTCTTAGTTTAGTTTAACATTATTAATAGTAGCTTTTATGTTTTGATTGGCTTTATTTGAGTTTGAAACTTGTAACTCTATATTTTTGTAGTTGTATTAAATGTCTATCTATAAGCAATATGGGTTCCAGAACCTTGTAAGGGCCAGGATTGGACACCAGCTGATCAACCTAAGAGCCAGACCCAGCGTTCCTTACAAATCTTTAGTTTTCACATCTTGTTTGGGCAGTTTTGACTTTGCTACTTGGAGTATTTAAGAGAAAAGTCTTGACACTGTCTGTGCAGTGGATTTTTGTTGATTATTTCCCCCCAGATGTATAAGCTTATTTTGTATAAGTCGAATGTCTCGTCTTTTCTGTTTTCTGTTCCCAATTTCACCATGTTCCTTTTGTATTATGATTTCTGTGCCCCCAGTGGTGTTCGACGACGACTCCTACGTTTCCTGTGAATTTAATGTATTAGCTGTTCACTCCTCTTTTTTAGATCATTGATAAAAATGCGATATAAAATCAGTTGAAATGTCATGTTCACAATACTCTGTGGACTTCTTCAAATGCAGAGTACCTCTTGTTTCCCTCCTCACCCGTTGGGCTCTTTTAATGTATGTTAAGTTGGGCATCCAAAGATTAAGACTCCCATAATCACAGGTTGCTTTTGGAAATGTGAGCACGTGTTCTCTGCAACCACTCCCTCCTGTGCTGAGTTAATTTTGCTCTATATGTCTTCTCTGGTAGCAACAGAAAATGACAATACGTTATTCCAACTGTCATTCAGTTGATGGACCTTGGAAATTCTATTGCACCTATTTGAAACACTGAGATGTGTTGTGTTGTCTTCAGCTTCTTGTGAACATATTGCTTTCCATGAAATTTTGACTTCTGCAGAAGAAGCTATGGTACAGAGAAAAAGAATCTGACTTTTTAAACTTTGTTTAAAGTTTTTTTAAGGCAGTTACCTTGATTGGAAGAAACAAAGATGTTGTGGACTATTTCATCAGTTGTCCAGTTTCAGAGAGAAAAGATTACATGTCCCGGACTCATGCCAGAGTGATTCGAACCACTAATACTTACAGACTTGTGGATTCCAGTTTGACGGGCGTTTATGTCAACGATGTTAGAATCTGTGGTGAGTTTAGAAGGAAAACATTCAAGGGCATCCTTGTGTATCCCTCTTTAGGATCAGATGCTAGGATATACATATGTATTCGATACTTATTTAACGTTTATATTATAGCTTCTTTATTGAATGAAGTAATACATCCAATAATAGTTCTGAACTTTGGAAAAGAATGGTAAACGTGTAACGATGTATATTGTGTTCGTTGTACATTTTCAGGTTCAGTCATCTTGCAGGAAGGAGATACTGTTACCTTCGGACACCCTGCAGGGAATGATATCAAGCCTGGAACACAAGTTCGTCAGCCAAATTCAGAATTTTACTTTCTGGTATGTTTTATTCCTTCTTTAAGTTGTTGCAAGAGTAGCTAAAGCATGGATTCACGTTGTTACACAGGGCAGCTTGTGGCTACTCTCTTCTTAATAGAAGGCAGGCCCCATTTTGATCCAGGTGTTTTCATTTCCAGCTGGATGGGGGTAGCTGTGATCTGATCCATCTTACATTAGATGGATGTGAGATGCTGATGTAGCCCTTGTGCTGCTGGCAGGGTCCCATCAGCAGAGACTTCTGTTCTAAGTAGTGATACTGAAGAGAACTCCCAGAAGCTTAGTATCCTGGTAACTTGGATTCTTTCAGTACACCAGTAGCTCTGTTAATGCTACAGCGTCTGGGAATGGGACATATACTTAAAGGTTACTGCAGAAAACTAACTTGCATTCAAATTAGAAGACTTGAAAAAACTTGACTTCCTGTAAGTCTGAAAGCTGACATCTGTTAATCAGCAGTACATGATGCATTTGAAAAGGAAGTAGGCCTCCTCGTTTTAGTCTCCTGGACCTTGAATTCAAATAAGGCTGTGTTTCAGATAAACTTCTTGCACTTCTGTTTCAGTTTGAACATTGTTACTGTGGGATCGATCAGCCGCAAAGTGCCTGTAGAGAAATGAAGAATTTGCCACCACAGGTAAGGGGGCAAAGCAGGGGAAAAAGAAATTACTGGCCATATTGAGGGTATTTCATGTGACAAACAAGGATCCTTTTCTCAGCAAAGAAAACCAACAGTGGGAATACGGGAAATGCTTTCTGACCCCCTGAATCGGTTTCCCTGCTCGTTTCAAGAGTCATGCTGTTTGCGTTCAATACGCAAGTGCAAAAGGTTCAGACAGATAAGATCCAGGCCCAGTATGGTTTACATTTTAGACAAGATATAACGAATGACAACAACAAACCAAATGGAGATTTGGGGAAGGAAAGACAGTGGTTACAGAAATGTCATTCTGGTTTTTTACGTGCAAGTCTTGAAGATTGTTATAGTGAACACATCATATAAATGAAAAAATAATAAATACCTATTGTCTGTATACATTCCTGGATCCTGCCTTCACCAAACACTGCTCCACCCTTCCCTCTACCTCTCCCCACTTGCTGAATTCCCTCGGATCACTCCTGCACCCCTTCTAAATACTTTCAAGGGTGCCTATGATGGCTAGACAGAATGAGAAATAGGTGCTACTGGAACTTGTACCCGTTAATAAAAACCAGCCCTGACTACACTTGGAGGGCAATACATTTCAGTATCTCAGCCATAAAACTTGGGTCACCGGCTACGTATGGAAAAGAAGGCTTTTTATACGCCCTCCAGTCACAAATTGTGCCTCCATAACGTGCAGTACTTTAGAAGGGGGAGTGGTAGTGGGTGGCAGTGGTAAAGAGGGCTTAAGTATATATGAAATGTCAAGTCAACCATGCCATGTGGATTTCTGTTTTTACACTTAATATGTGAAACCAAAGTTCATTCCTTTTCAGTTACTTATACTTAGCATTTTGTGGTGCTGACTCTTATCTCCTTTGTACAGATTCAGTTACCACTGCTGGCGGCTCCTGAAACCCCACAAATGTACAATTCAGTTTTGGAGTTCGAGAAAAATGTTGGCCTTCCCATTATATCCCAGCTGATACAGACGTCTCACATAGTCCCAAGTAGTGGAGCTGAATCTAAATCTAGCACATGCTATGGTGCTGTGCAGCCTTCTATGGTCACTGTGAGTCTGCCATTAACACCAGCTGGTTCGGTGTTGTCTTCAGCTAAATCTTCTCTGTGTAGAAATCCCTTTAATGTGACTTCAAATAAATCAGAAATGCCTCCAGCATCTACATCAACTGTTGCAATACCAGATACGTCACCTGATTCTCAGATTGTACGTTCTGCTTCACCCGAATATGTCCATGGGAATAGTTCAACAGTTACCGCAGAGCCTTCTCAGCAGAGTGTCTTTGAAATTGCACAGTCTTGTTCGTTTCAGGAAAACGGTGCAAGGAGAGCAGAACTGGATAATTCTGACTTTTTCTGTGTGAAACCAAGTGAAGACCATGCACACTCATCAGGAAGCATGCCACAGTTTTACAGACCATTCCTGGATGAGAGACACGCCAGTGGTGAAATAGAGAGACAACCTCCTGACGCAGTGTGTTATAATCTGGAACCTTCACCACCTTTTCCTCGCTCTAGTGATACCACAGACACATGTGACAGTAGCCAACATGGAAGAACAGTTGTCAGAGCTGGTCTTCCCGATAACAGTCTAGAGCTTTCAGATCCTTTTCAAATAGAAACTGGAAGCCACCTTGATCCCAAGACACTAGCTGCTGTAGCCAGTAAGTCAGTGCTTGGAAGTTGTGCAAACGCTGATGATGACGAAGAGCCGATAGAGATCGACATTATTAGCAGCTCTAAAGAAACAGCTGAACACGAAACTTCTGAGAGTTCAGAAACTGGCATTCAAGTGCAAGTCAGAGAAGTGATAAATGAAGCTGTGAAAAGTGCTCAGGTGCCATCAGTCAGTGATTATGTGGAGAATTCAATGGAAAAGGAAAGTTTGACGGAAGAACAGAATGAGTACGCGTTGGAGCAGCATCCTGTTGACGTTTGTATGTATGGAACGCCACATGCTGCTGCAGCTGTTATTGGTGCTGAGACTTGTGAATACCATTCAAAGAGAAAGGGCCATTGTCACGTAAATCGCCTGTCAGAATCAGTTACTGTTGAAAATTGTTTGGAAAACAGTGACTGTGTGACAATAAACAGAGTCCCAGAAGACATTGCTCTGGGTAGAGATCCAGATAGTGGGTTTCCTGCAAAAGAAGTAGTGAGTCCAAAGAAGCTAGTGAATGCAGCTGATGTAGAAGAGCTGGATTTGCTTCCTGAAACTGTTATGGCCATAGACGGAGCTCAGGAAGCAAGCATGCCATTTGTGCCAGACTCAGAATGTCCACATAGTGTTTGGCATTCTGAGATCAAAAACGAGATCTGCAAAGATGAGCTGACTTCAGTTCTAAAGGAAAACAGCCTTATGCCAAATGAGAAAGCAGTACAAGAAAGTATTGATATTGTAGAAAGGGACAGCTGTCCCTTGGCTGACAGAGAGTTGGAAACTCAGAAGCCTGACACTACTGTAGACATTCAAGAAGGAGCTGACCCTAACAATGATAGAATCATGACTATATCAAACAGAGAATTGGGACTACATAGAGATCGTGTTTTTGAGGATAAGATGCAAAATGCTTTAGATCAGGACTACGCGCCTTCAGACACTGGGATATTGACCCTAGACTATGAGGACTCTCATAACATTCTGACAACGTGTGCAGCAAAAGAAATGTCTGCTTGTGAGAGTGCTGTTGGTTCTGCTAAATCCCAAGAAAATGAAAATGACCGTGTCAGCGGAGTCGCCTTATTCCAGAGCTGTGTTACGGAACAAGTTGTCTCGAGAGCCAGTGGAACAAAGATTGTCCAGTATCTGGATGTGCTTCATCCAGAAGAGGAGGAATCATCAATGGATTCTCATGTGGTAGTGGATGGGCTTGTAACCAAGATACTGAAAAACAATGCAGAGCCCACAGCACCCAAGAACTTGCCCTCATGTGCACAATATATCTCAGATTATCATGTACATTCTCCTTCTAAGGACCATATCCTATCTGAAGATACACACTTGGAAGATGTAACTTATGATTCTTCCTGTAATTGTGTGCCGTCATCTTCTGAATCTTTGCACAGTGAAATTTCCTCACTCCAACCATCTCCAAAGGAAGAAGAAACATGTAATTCAGAGGCAATTGTCAAACCTTGGAGTAGAACAGTGGTAGAAATGATTTCTCCTGAGTGTCCTTGCAGGTATGAAGACTCTGGAGCTTTTGCGTCTGCCAAGAGGTCCATTAGTGAAAAAGTGAACCAAGAAACTAATATCCAGCCATTGTCTCAAAATGAAACTGAAACATCTGTGAAACAGAAACCATGCAATAAGGCAAGTACTTCTCATGCCACTCTGTGTATAGAGTCTGAAGGCTTTCATTCAGACCATGAATGTCCGACTACCTCTGTAGCTACAAAAGGTGTGCCACAGGAGGTTAGTGATTTTGGTATCAATGATATACATGTGGAAATAAGTGCTTCTGAAGAGGATGAAAAGCAAGCAAATAGGAATGTAACGATGGGTAGTCATGTTGGACACGGAGACAAAGATAAGAGTGAATCAAAGATGGATTCCGTGGATACAGAAGCGAGGATATCTTCAGTTACCGATTATATTGAAGGACCATGTGCAAAAGTGGGAACTCAAAGTAGGCTAATAAATGAGAGAGAAATAAACTTACTGCCTACAGAGACTGCTGTAAGTGGAAACAAAAATAGTGTGTCAAAGAATAGTATCTGTGAGGAGGAAGTAAACGTGTCAATGGATATTAATTTGAATAGTCAACAGTTTTCAGAGCCCTATCAAAGTACCATACAACATAACAATGCAAGTGAAAATTCCTGGAAAGAGTTATCTGAACCAATGGAGTTAGATTCCATAGCAAAGAAAAAGCTTTCTTCCGAAACCTTTGAAGAAAAACCAGTATTTGTAACTTCAGGTTCTTCTCCCGATAAAGTGACACTTTTTGAAAAAACAGAGAAATTGGTAGAGGCGATAAATACTAAGCCACCGATTGATGTAGATGAAGAACTTATTGATGAGGGTCTGCTACAGGAGAGTGACTGCACTCCTGAGGGAAAGAAGTCTCCATGGAAAGAAGAGGACCAGTCATATGTCTCAATGGTTGAAAGAGAATTGGAAGAAAACACAAACACCAACTGTATTAAAACAGTTGAAGTCTTTGCTGGCCGTACTTTGGATTCCACTTCTAATGAGAGGAGTGATACTGATTGCCAGGAACTGAAAACCACTTGCTCAGTAGTGGATGATACAACACTGGGGGGGGAGCAGTATGATCAGTCAACTAGTAGCGACAATACGTTTTATGAAAAGACAGATGAAGATAACGTTGAAAGCAAAGAGAAGATGAAAATACCTGGAGAGAGACATGACTTAGGAACAGCCATTAATGATGGTATATTTGAACAAGAGACAAATCTAGAAAAGGAAGATCTAGATAAAGAGATGGAGATTGTGGCAAATGTATGTGGTGAACAAACAAATCTTAATCACAGCAGCATTACTGAAGAACCCACCAACAGGCTGAAAAGAAATACAGCATATTACTCTTCAGACTTAGAGGAAGGAAAAGCAAATGATCTTTCTCCATTATGCTTATCCAAACTTACTTCTCTAGTAGCAGAAAGAAGCTTGAACTTTAATGATTATTCCTGTTCGCAAATACAATCCCCTTACTATGAGACTAAAAGGGACATGGAAAACATTCCAGAACCTCTGAATGATTACAGCTTGCCTCAGAAGGACACCAGGAATGAAGAAGATATGAAGTTGAATGATGAAAAGAGAGTTGAGGCAGTAAACCATAAATGGAGTGTAAAATCAGTTACAGTGGACAACGAATTTAAGCACAGTGATGCATGTTGCAGTGAGTTTGATTTAGGAACATTGAATAATTGCCAAGAGGAAAATGAGAATTTGTCTGTCAGCTCTGCCCATTTGGCATTTCAACAGCAATCTGGTGCAGATGATGAACAGCAGGAGACAGATTCCCATGCCGTGGAATTCCAGCATTTGGACAGTAAAGTAGACTGGAACTCCAAAGAGGATATTATGACACAATCACTTTATCCAAAGGACTTCATCATAGACAGTGGTAGGAAGAAGCTACGCGAACAAAATATGACTACTGAAATCTTGACACTGACTGGTTTGGAGAGCAGTGATCAAAGAAGTATATACCAAGAGGAAAGTGGAATCCAACTGCAAACTTCTGAATTGGACACACGACCATGCAGTGTAGACAGAAATGATTTTGCAGTTGGGAGGCAAGCTCTTACATTTGAAAAGCCTGAATCTGCTAAAGAAAATATGAATGAAAACCTCATAAAGGAAACTGAAACTGACTCAATCGAAGGGTCTGAGTCATTCAGTTCTGAGGAGCTGAATTTCTCAGCTTCAGAAGTTGAAAAGGAAAAGGAAGAAGATAACAACATGAGAACAAGAATTGGAACTGAAATGCAGTCTGATGGAAGCAAAATTCTGAAGGAAAGAGACATTGTTGTCTCTGATCCAAACAGTGTCTCTAGCAGCGTTATTCTACCTGCTGACCTGGACTGCAAACCAAATAAAGATCAGCTTGGCAGAGTGATTGAAACAGCTCATGTCAAATCAATGATAGGTTCAGAAAAGTCAACAGACTTGAGTTTGGAAGAAAAGAGCTATTCTCTTTGCAATGCAGAATATGATCTAAGTGAAGTTAGAATTGCTGGACCTGAAAATTGTAGTACAGGTATGGTAGTTGGTGAATCCGGTCACTTAGTAAAAAACCCAACACTGAGAGAAGAAAAAACAGAGAACCAAACAACTGCAGACTGTAATCTTGAGCCCGTATGTTTGTATAGTTCTATAGAATTTCCTTGCGTACCAGAAAGCCAGAGAGAAATGGAAGCAGTGAAAGGCTATGCACAGGTTGATTTGAATAAGGGAGATGCACATTGTTCAGGTGAACTTGTAGGAAATGTTGATTCTAATTCTGTCCAAGGCAGAAAAAATCTAGAGGAGAATCTGGAGCCTAAGAATAGCTTGCTGGATGATTGCAGTAAAGAATTAGATGTGGAGACACCATCTATATCTTTTGGAGCCCTAAAATCTGTTAAGGGCTCTCCGGTAAACGAAATGCTGACCAGTCTCTGTGCAGAAAAAGATGACATTAATCAGAAAACAGAAACAGACGAACTGGTATATATGCAGCAAGAAAGCCAAGACTGTGAATCCCTGAAATCCCAAGCAAACCTATGCCAGCCCACAGAATGTGCAAATGTTTCTGAAGGCAGTAATGAAGGTTTAAATGTTTCAGAGTCTACATTTATGAACAGGATGGGCACTTCTAAAGAGCAGAATAAAGCTCAGAATAAAAAGACAGACAAAACCAATTATTTCAGAGCACCGAAAAGACACATCGATAGAGACAAATATTCTGAAACTTCACTTTCTGAAGATGAGCAGTGCTCCCAAAAGAGAATCTGCCCTTTGAGGTCTCTTGCCATGCAGGAGTCTGTATCTGACCTGCCTAGTCCAAATGTAGCCTTATTTTCCACTCCCACTGATGTGAATGAGAAAACTCTTCAGCGCCTTAATGAAGTGGAGAAGGAAAATAGTAAAAATATTGCACGCTTGGTGAGAGAATTTTTTAAAAAAAGAAATGACTCTGAGAACTTGGTAAATGAAAACCCCAAACCTGAAATGTCTGTGCCGCCTATTGAAAGCAAAGTAGAAGACGACAGTAACTGTACGTGTGTAGGTGAAATAGACAGTGATGGCTGGACAAGGAGAGATGGAAGCAATTTACGTCTGTTGTCAAGTATTGACCCTCCGGTAAATGGAAACCAGTCAGTGAAATTAATATCTGAGTCCCAGAGTCTCCCCCTTGAAAGTCAGTTCAGGGTTAGTGAACTTGCTGCCAGTTCAGCAGATTCACAGACTGGTGTACTAGAAAAAGACGCAAGTCAAGTTCCAGAAAGCCCAAGTGCAGATTCCCTGTCTGAAGAGGAACAGTTTCAGTCAAGGGTGTGTTTAGCCTTAGATAGTAAATATTTTTCTGCTAAATCGCCCCTGACATCCCCTGACGTAGCTTCTGAACAGAGCACCAAAGCATCCGGTTTGGACTTCATATTCTCTGACTTATCGAATAGCTCGGTTGAAGGTGATCATCATTTGCTTACCCAAAAAGTAAATAGCAGGATTTCTAGTGGAGCAGGTGATGGGCTCCCCACAGGTGTTTGCAGTGACAGTTGCGATGTAGCTGGTATTGACACAGTGTCAGGTTTTTCATGCAACTCCTTAGACGCCTCAGCTGCGCATTGGAGCAGAGACACAACTATATCTTCAGATCTTGTGGCAGCAGCTAGAGAAAGCAGCCAGTGTGTTGCAAGCGAGTGGCCACAGAAGTTGGAGTCAGAAGACCATGTTGAAAGCATCACAGACAGAAATGAGCTGGCAATACTGCACGAGGCTGAGGGAGCGCTCGATGGTGACAGAACACCTAGTCTAGAAGATTTATCCATTCCTGCGTCCCATGTGACTTCACTAACTGGAGCCAGTCCTAGTTCACCGAAGAGCATCTTCAAGGTAGAAAGTGATGCAGACCAGCACGAAGCCCCTGAATTTTGCACTCACAGCAACACGCAACATGGCGAAATCTTCGGTCTTCAGACAAAATCCACACGCTCTCCCTGCCAAGGTAATTGTTTAAAGTGTAAGGAAAAGTACATGTGTTAAGGCAGCAGAATACATTTTGGGAAGGCATATGTTGCAGTGGCTGTAACGAATTTGGCTGTCACAGCACATGCCACATTTATCATGGTAGATAGTTCCAATTATTCAGAGAAATTATAGTTACCTGGTTTCACAGTGATAAACTTTCCTGAGGAATGTCACACATTTACAGTGCTTGGAAACCAATGTTTCCTTATCGTACCAAGTTGGAAGTAGCTTACTTGTGTTACTTTGGCTCCTGACTTTCAGTTATAAATTTAGTGTGCTTATATTTTAATATAGGCACACACTGTTCATCTTCCAGCATGCTTTTTCTTGCATTCCTTATGATGTGGTCAGAGCAGCCTGAGTGATATGGTTAATGCGGACTGAATTTGCTGAAAAGCATACAGATCCTTGAATACTAGGACTGGAAGGGACCTCGAGAGGTCATCAAGTCCAGTCCCCTGCCCTCATGGCAGGACCAAATACTGTCTAGACCATCGCTGATAGACATTTATCTAACCTATTCTTAAATATCTCCAGTGATGGAGATTCCACAACCTCCCTGGGCAATTTATTCCAGTGTTTGACCACCCTGACAGGAACTTTTTCCTAATGTCCAACCTAAACCTCCCTTGCTGCAGTTTAAGCTGATTGCTTCTTGTTCTATCCTCAGAGGCCAAGATGAACAAGTTTTCTCCCTCCTCCTTATGACCCCCTTTTAGATACTAAAAACTGCTCTCTTGTCCCCCCTCAATCTTCTCTTTTCTGAACTAAACAAACCCAATTCCTTCAGCCTTCCCTCATAAGTCATGTTCTCTAGACCTTTAATCATTCTCGTTGCTCTTCTCTGGACCCTCTCCAATTTTTCCACATTTTCTTGAAATGCGGTGCCCAGAACTGGACACAATATTCCAACTGAGGCCTAACCAGCGCAGAGTAGAGCGGAAGAATGACTCTCGTGTCTTGCTCCCAACACACCTGTTAATACATCCCAGAATCATGTTTGCTTTTTTTTGTAACAGCATCACACTGCTGACTTATATTCAGCTTGTGGTCCACTATAACCCCTAGATCCCTTTCTGCAGTACTCCTTCCCAGACTGTCGCTTCCCATTCTGTATGTGTGAAACTGATTGTTCCTTCTTAAGTGGAGCACTTTGCATTTGTCTTTATTAAACTTCATCCTATGTATCTCAGACCATTTCTCCGATTTGTCCAGATCATTTTGAATTATGACCCTATCCTCCAGATTAGTTGCAACCCCTCCCAGCTTGGTATCATCTGCAAACTTAATAAGTGTACTTTCTATGCCAATATCTAAATAATCGATGAAGATATTGAACAGAGCCGGTCCCAAAACAGACCCCCGAGGAACTCCACTTGTTATGCCTTTCCAGCAGGATTGTAAACCATTAATAACTACTCTCTGAGTATGGTTATCCAGCCAGTTATGCACCCACCTTATAGTAGCCCCATCTAAGTTGTATTTACCTAGTTTATTGATAAAAATATGATGCGAGACCGTATCAAATGCCTTACTAAAGTCTAGGTATACCACATCCACCGCTTCTCCCTTATCAACAAGACTCGTTATCCTATTAAAGAAAGCTATCAGATTGGTTTGACATGATTTGTTCTTTACAAATCCATGCTGGCTGGTCCCTATCACCTTGCCCCTTTCCAAGTGTTTACAGATGATTTCCTTAATTACTTGCTCCATTATCTTCCCTGGCACAGAAGTTAAACTAACTGGTCTGTAGTTTCCTGGGTTGTTCTTATTCCCTTTTTATAGATGGGCACTATATTTCCCCTTTTCCAGTCCTCTGGAATCTCTCCTGTCTCCCATGATTTTCCAAAGATGATAGTTAGAGGCTCCGATACCTCCTCTATCAGCTCCCTGAGTATTCTAGGATGCATTTCATCAGGCCCTGGTGACTTGCAGGCATCTAACTTTTCTAGGTGATTTTTAACTTGTTCTTTGCACTCCAGAATCTCAGCTTCCGTTTAAGAACGGTTTCTAACCCTGTGGCTGTGAAGATAGTTCAGACCGTAACCCAGCGCCCGCCTGAGCTGATAAACCACCCGCATAACGCTGCCTGGTCCATTGTCCTCTGTAAATCTGAAGGGATAAATGATACTCTCAGCTAAGGACGCCTCTTAGTAGTACAGTCTGACTAAATAAAGTTGTTCATTCTAAAATGTAACTCTCTTCTGAGGGTGGAAAACTACCATTGAATCAAGGACGGAGGGTCGGAGGCACCCAACTGTTTCAGGTTTCTTCTTTGTTTCTTTGAACAACCCAAAGCATGTGAGGTATTCCACAAAAGCAAGTAGACAGTCGCTGCCCAAAGAGCTGGCATTAAGGAGGGCGCTCCATGTGTGAGAGAAGGCAGGGAGGAGCAGGGGGTATCTAGGCAGAATTCAGGGCAAAAGGAGACAAGGTTAAGGGTTAGGGATGTGAACGGTTAGCCGGTTAGCATCATCCTGGTTCCGGGAACAGCCTGGTCAGAGGGCTGCTCCCGCCCCATGTGGGGTCAGGAGCCGGCAGCCTGCTCCTGCCCCCCCTTTCCTGCAGGGCTGCTGGCTCCTGCTGTCAGCCATCCCTCCTTTACCTCCGCATGGGGGAGCTGGGTGCTGCAGCCCTTCCAGGATTGGGGTGGAGGCCGGCAGTGACAGCCCCATGTGGCCAGGGGAGGGCAGGAGCGGCAGCAGCCCCCGCTGGGATCCTGCTCAATCAGTTAACCAGTGAACCCAGCATTTAACCGGTTAACTGATTCACTGGGATTTTACACCCTGTTAAGGTGCTAGCTGAGTAACAAGTAGCAGAAGCTTGAATTCGATAGGAGGAGCCGAAGTGGGGATTGGAATAGTCTAGATCTGTCAATACTAAATTAAGGTCTGGATGTTTTCCCTCCCCCCAGATGTAAGCCCTGCAGCCACAGTGGATTGGAACCCTCACTCGCCTACACGAGAACCAATTGTAGCCCGTGTAAAACGAGGCGCTGCGCCCCAGACACGGTTAAAGAGAGAACTTTCTCCTAGGGAACATGACGGGAGCATTTCCCCTCCATCCAAAAAGTGTCCCCTTGTTGCTGCAGTTTCTCCAGGGTCTGCCAATGAGGAACCAGCACCAAATCAGAAGGAAATTGGCGCTCCTGACACTACAGGATCATCCAGCGCTTCTCAGACAAGTCTCACTGACCTTGCCCAAACGCCCTCCATGCCTGTCACTTCTGATCACCTCAGAGAGTGTCCTGCAGCTCGCTCTCCAGTAACCTCAGCTCTGCACAAACGTCGTGCCTCAGAAACTGCAGACTGCTCTCTGCCAGGCTGTTCATCTCAGCCACGGTCTGTAGCAAATCTTCCGATTCAAGACCGGATCCCCTCTCCTTGCACCTTTGAGGCACGCAGGTTCAGCCGACCAGCTTCAGAACGAGCTTGCTCCTCCGACGAGGAAGCGGCCTGTCACTCCAAGGGTTTTGCTGCTGATATGGAGGAATTTCCATCCACGGCTACAGAGAGTTTGAAGGCTGTTGCCCTCTTGTCTAGAACCAAAACTCTGGGCAGTTTCTCTGCCGCTGAAAACGCTGCTCCCAAAGCAAGTTCCAGCAGTTCAGATGGAATGGAGAGTGAGGCCCGGAGTGCCTGGGCTTCGTCGGAGGGCGACATTGAGTTCCAGCTGAGCCAGTGTCAGACGGTGCTTGGCGAGATTTCGCAGGCTCTCCGGGCAGTGGAGGGCATTGACGAAGCGCACATGAATGAATGGAGGTAAAGCTTTCTTTTCCAGTCAGTAGCTGTCAGACTAATGAGACCATTGGGGAGACAGTCACAGTGGTCAGGCCTCACTACCTGATCCTCGGCAAGTCACGCTCACCTCACTACCTCAGTTTGCCCGTTGGTAAAATAGCATTAGCAGCCTAAAAGGTCCCTGTGAAATGGCTGCGTAAGCAAGTGGTAAATTTACTAAACGGTCTTGAGTTTTATTTCCTGCTCTCAAGTGACCCTCGATGTGGGACAGAATTTCTTCTGGGTAAAATCGCTTCATGCGCTGGTGCCAGCCCAGTGGTGAATTTGGGGAAAGGGCTTTCAGCCAATATTTGTCATCAGCATGAAAGCCTAAGTCAGTGGGTCAGAGCAGGGAGCTGCTGGAGTACTCTGTGAGCTGGGGTTGGGTTTATTCACTTGTCTAGTCTCTCCAGTCCATGCCCTTTCTGGGCCCATGTAAAAGTCCTGGTCAGTTTCCTCCACTCTTCAGAAGGTCCCAGCCTTTTCCCCAGACCTTGGTTGGACTTCCGACAATCCCCCATGTCTCTCTCCTTAATACAGCAGCCTGCTAGCTCTCCTCCTGGGAGCTGGAGTTAGACCTTGGGCCTATTGTGGAATCTCAGAGTCTCTCCAGTCCATGCCCTTTCTGGGCCCATGTAAAAGTCCTGGTCAGTTTCCTCCACTCTTCAGAAGGTCCCAGCCTTTTCCCCAGACCTTGGTTGGACTTCCGACAATCCCCCATGTCTCTCTCCTTAATACAGCAGCCTGCTAGCTCTCCTCCTGGGAGCTGGAGTTAGACCTTGGGCCTATTGTGGAATCTCAGGCGTCCTCACTCAGACCTTCTGAGCTCCGGCTGGGAGGGTCCACGAGGCAGCCTTCCTCTGCTAACTCGGAGCTGTGCGTAACTGATGGCTTCAAAACTTGCATCAGTCAGAATAGCTGTTTATGCAAATTGGAAGCTTAATAGTTAAATGTTGCCAGGTGATTGCTTCATGATTCTGCTTTTTTAAAAAAAATAAAGAGACCAGATTGAAACGTTGCAGAAAGATACAAAAATGCCCAAGACCTACATTGCAGTCGTGGGAAACACTGGAGCAGGGAAAAGCAGCTTGTTAAACGCCTTGCTGGATGAGGAAGCCGTGCTGCCTACTTCTGCCATGAGAGCCTGCACTGCTGTGGTGGTGGAGATCTCCAGGAACGCTGGGAAGAGTCTGTATGAAGCGGATGTGGAGTTTCTTTCTAAAGAAGTAGGTAGCAGGCATCAATCTAACTATCCCTAGGTGGCTCTTCTCTGCCATCAGAATGGTTGTGACAGAACTGGCAGCTGTAAAGGCGTTAGGGAAGAATCATTTTGTTTCTGTGGAGCGCAGATGCATTTTGTCTTGGCACATAACCCTTTATGGGCAAAATCTGAAATCTTTCTCCTCGTGGATGTGTCTTCTGTCTCTGGCTTCCTGAAACCTATTCTCCTAATTTGGATCGTCTTGCTTTGTCTCTGGTCGTGCTACATTACTGAGCAAGTGTTCCACTAGGTGTTTAAAGCCAATCTGCAAAACTTAAAGGGCATAGTCTTCATTGCACGTGAGGGTTGGCAACTTGAAACCCAACGTTTTCAATGCCTTTTGTACAGTCTTGCTGTAATTTGAGTGCCATTCATCTGAAAAGTTTGGCTATTCCTGTAGATCTTTGGGGTTGTATTATAATTTGTAGAGGTTTCATAGGGGTTTCCAAGGCTAGAAGGGACCACTATCTTTATCTAGTCTGACCTCCTATATGACACAGGACATAAATCTTCCACAAAAAAATTTAGAATATATCTTTAAGAAAAACACCCTGTCCTGACTTAAATGGTCAGGGATGGAAAATTCACCATGACTCTTGGTAAGTTTGTTCAAGTGGTTCCTCGCATCATTCTAAATGTGCGCCTTATTTCCAGTTAGACTTGCATAGGTTTCTAAACGGGGAGAAGTAAAATAACTATAATGAAATTAAAGTCTCTCTGGCCTTATTCCTATGGGAGGTTAAACTGACATGAGCGTTTGTGGTGTCTGTGGTGGTGCTAATTTGATCTTTTACAGGAAACCCCTGAGATGCGACCACCCGAGTTCCGACTCCCCGCACTTACAGCCATTTTTGTAAGTGCGGAAGGGGCCGAAACCCCCAACTTACGTCCTTGGTCCCGCATTTACGACTGCACACGACACCTATCGTAAATGAGGGTTCGAGTTACAACGTCCCCGACTTGCTATGCTTCCCCAGGAACCGATCGCATCGCAAGTCGGGGGCCGCCTGTAGTTGGATTCTACTTTTGAGATTTATCGTGACAAGGTTTGAAAAATCCACATATACTTGGAGATCAGAAAGTTTTTCCAGGCAAGTGCCCTTAGACTAGCATTTAATTTAAAATTGGAATGGTCAAAAATGATTTGGGGTGCCCGTTGGAAAGAGCCAGATCTTCAGAAATTGCTCCTCAGTGAAATTCAGACCCCCTGAAAATGTCTAAAAAGCGCGCGCACAGTCACAGCTTAAGTTCCTTGGGTGGCCTCACCCGTAGAACATTAGAATGGTGACAGGAGAGTCCGGGAGCTTTTGAGCCTTCCGGCAGGCACAGCTAGTCAGAATCCAACAGTCTGATCACACCCAGTAGGTGCATCCCATGTGTGAAGTGAGAGCCCAGCTTGGAAAAGGTTGGTTACTAGGAAGTAAACTTCATTTCTTTGAGTGCTGCTCCCAGTGTGTGTTCGACTGTGGATACACGTGTCCCCTGTGCCGGAGACTGAAGAATTCTTGCAAGTTATGTCCATTGGTCTACAGCTGTGCTCTTGCGGAGCTTTCGAAAGTGAAAGTAGTTTAGACGTGGCTTTTTCGGTGAAACCCCCCCCTTGTCAAAAAGCCGTGTAAATCTCGTTTTTTGAGGAAAAATGGCTTTTCAACAGAGCGGAGTGGTCACAGATAAAGCCGCGTCTAAACTACTTTCACTTTCAAAATCTCTGCTTTCGAAAGTGAGATTGGAAGAAGATATGCGAACTCCGCAAATCTTCCCCATAGTCTAGACATAGCCCTAGAGGCAGAGTCAGTCTTCAGCTAGGAGGTGTCCTAGCTAGGAGCTCCCTCCCTGACTAACCTCTCCTTCAAAAGCTTGCGGGGGTCCCAGAGGGATCTATCTTGGGTCTGGTTCTAATCAACATCTTCATAAATGATTTGGGTAACGGCATAGAAAATGCACTTGCAAAGATGGCTGGCAATATCCAACCAGGCGGGTTTGCAAGTGCTTGGGACAATGGATGAAAATTTGAAATTATGTTTACAAACTGGAGAAGTGGCCTGAAATAAGTAGGATGAAATGGAATAGCTATCAATGCACAGTACTACACTTAGGAGGGAATCATCAGTTACACAAATACAAGGTGGGAAATGACTTCCTAGGGTGGATCTGGGGTCGTAGTCTCTCACAAACTGAATGAGTCAACAATGGAACATAGCAGCAAAAGCAGGTATTGGGCTGAGATGTATGAGGGGTTGTGAGCAAGGCATGAGAAATAATTCTCCCATTCTGTCCAGTACTAATAAGGCCTCAAGTGGAGTTCTGTGTCTTGTTTTGGATTCCACGCTTCGGGAAAGATGTAGACAAATTGGAGAAAGTCCAGAGGAGAGCAACAAAACTGTTTAAAGGTCTGGAAAATGTCCTGTGGGGAAAGACTGGAAAAAACTGGGTGAGGGGGGAACATAGTAGTCTAAGTATGTAAAAGGTTGTTATAAAGAGGAGAGACTAAATGATTCTCCTTATCCCACTGAGGACTGGACAAGAAATAATGGAGAAAAGGCAGTTTGGGTGAGACTTTAGGAAAAGTGTAGGTAGTGAAGTAAAGGACCAAATTATTTAGGGAAGTTGTGGCATCTCCATCATGGAGGTTTTTAAGAACAGGTTAGAAAACACATGTTGGATGGTCTAGATAATACTCAGTCCTGGTTCAAAGCAGGGGAGTCTGTTGAGCTCTCTTCCAGTTCTACATGTCTAGGATTCCAAAACATTTAAATATGGTGTTTTGTGTGGTTTTAATTAAATTCCAATTAGCCTCCTAATGCATCTTGATGCAAATTATATATAAAAAGTTGATCTAATAAATAAGCAATGTGTCATTCACCATTAACACACTAATCTGAAAATATTAAACTATATAACTGCTTAAATACATGCAGATAGTTGTAATGTACTCTCTTAAGCAGCAAAAAAATGTACCAGAGCTAGCATAAAGGCTCTGTCTAGTTATAAGTTAACATGTTTTAACATTTATATCAACCAGTGAGAATGCACCTTTCTTCAGAAAATAATTGAAGTACAAGAGCAAGAGATGATTAATAAAATCAGTGATTTAAATCAAAGATTTCCACTTTGCAATTTAAATCCTGATTTAAATGAATCCTCCCATCACCCTTCAGTTTAAAAATAGGAATGTTGCTCATGCTATATGTTGGAGCAATCATGCAGATTCTTGGTACCAGTTACTAGCACTGCTATTCCTACTGTATCTCTAATTGTAGTGCGTAAGTATTATGGCAAAAGGGAGCTGTGTAAATATCCGAGGGGGAGAATCAGAGCTGAGTGGAAAACTGTCATCAGTATTGAAGGGAGAAAACAAAATAAAACAAACAGCTTTTAAAATGTTTGAAAATATTTACTGTTTTATCGACTAGCTGGTGTAATCTGTTAAAAATGGTTCTTAGTTTCAGCAAAGCAGCTGTAATGGAACCCCTTCCTCTGTTTGTGTTAAAATGTCTTGGGGGCAAACAGAGCATCTAGTCTGTTTCATTGGAGCTTGGATAGGTATTCTTTATGTAGCAAATTACTATCTTAACTGTTGGGAATAGTGTCTCAGTTGTTTCCACGTTTCTGTTTCAGGAGTGGGACAATGAGCTGAAAGCACTCCTAGAAGATATGAAAGACAAATCTGGCAACTTAAAGAAGCGATGCCCAGATCGCAAGACTGAAGCGGGCGCTGCCTATAGCCGTGTGAAAGCTGTTTATGGGATGATAGCAGAACTTCCAAAGCTGAAGGAGATGAAGGAGGTGACCCAGCATCTTGGGACAGTAAAACACATCTCTGCGGAGAAGGTAAATGCAGCATGTGACCTTTCTCCCTCCCACCTAGTCAGGCTATTTCAGATCGATAGAGATGATAAATGGAGTAGCTCAGCCTGTTACCTTTAGGGAACCTTACTCTTGTTTTCTCTCCCTTACTTAGGCATCAGATTTCCGCACAAAAATAGAGAAATTCATTGACTCTCGGACTGACAACTTACGTGACATGAAAGGTGGAGAATTTTGGCCTATTGTTAAATGTGTCAAGATCTGTGTTCCTGGTGCTGATGTCTTAAAGACTGGGGCAGTGCTGGTGGATTTGCCTGGAATAAGAGATTCCAATGCTGCCAGGGATAATGCTGCCAAAGAGGTACAATGGCATCTGTGAAATTGCAGCCCTCTTAAGGCTGTGCGTTGTTTTGTTTTTAAACCCTTCTGTCCCTTCTGGTTCCCAGCCCCTGATCTGTATCAGAAGCAGCATCTTTCTCCTTAGCCGTCATATCATGGTTTTGCACGTAACACACATCAATATGCGCTGGGAAAATGAGCAGTCTCTTTCCTTTTCCTCTTCTTTCAGACAAACGTTTGCAGCATCGTGTAACTGACGTATGGCACTTACTGCTGCACGATGCCATACTGGCAAGTTGATTCCTAAAACGAGGCTTAGTAGCGTCCGTGGATAAGTGGTCTCCACAGCTGCATTGATTGGGATCCAATTACATGTGCTGTTCATCTTTGTGTTTGAAGTCTATAAGAAATTACCATAGATGCTAGTGTATTGCACGGTTAGGTGCGCTGACGACATTTCCCCCTCAGAAGGATCAATTGTTATTAGAAACTGATCACTGTGCTAGATGAAACATTGATCTGTCTCCTATAGCAGTATGATGGCAGTGTTCTTTTCTGGAGTTGCTGTTTTACACTTATATGCTGTATAGTGCAGCTGTGTGTTTGTAAGAAGAAACGTTAACTAGTCAGTAGGGATGTCAGCGAGTAGTCGACTAGACAACCGATATGCCCAGGCGTATCGGTTAATCTTGTTGACTACTCACATTTCCCCATCCCCCCTGCTGCCTCCGTATCAGAGGCAGCAGCTGGCAGGGAGGGAGAAGGCTGCCATGAAGCAGCCTTTAACCATGGCAGGCCCAGGCTCACCTCAGACAGAGGCTACTCCAGGAGATGTGGAGCTTGGACCCCCCGCGGACAAGGACTGCTGCTACCCTGCGCTGCTGCCCCTGTATCAGAAGCAGCAGTGAGGGCAACAGGCAGTTGGTCCATGTGGGGAGCACTGGCTGCCGGCCCCACCCCCGGGGACTATAGAATAGTCCAGTAACCAGTAAGAATTCATGCAGTTACTGGACGAGTCGGTTAACGGATAGCTAGCATCCCCGCTAGTCAGAGGTAATGCAGTTGTGTTTTGTGCCTAGGCAGGCCTTCTCTGCCATTGCACTCACTTTTGTGCATCTCCATCAGCAGCACCACCAAACTGTGTGGCAGCAGTGTGTTCTCTCCTAGTGCTTCAATAGATGAGTGCAAAATGGTTCCTGTTACATTTGGAAACCGATTCACCATTTTAGACATGTGACTCTTCTATGGCAATTCTGAAAGCTGCTGCCCAGAGATAGGTTTGGAATTTGTTACTCGCATTATCCAACTGGAGATTCCACTTAATATTTCACTCTGCCTCTCGGACGTCCAGGCACGTTTGGAGGTGCTGAAGCAGTTCAGTGTGTCTTAAAAAACCCAACTTTTCGGGACAGTTCTTCCTGTGTTATTTAGTGAGAGCTGATTGAAGCTCTCAACTGCCAGAACAAATCGCTATGGTTTTCCTGTTAACTGGCTTTTCTTTCCACCCGTTAGTACTTAAAGAACTGCAATGCGGTGTGGGTAGTCGCCAGCATCACCAGAGCAGTGGATGACAAGACTGCCAAAGAGATGTTGAGTGCGAACCTGCGGAGGCAGCTGCTCATGGATGGTCAGTTTGGGAGTCTAGCTTTTGTTTGTACTAAGACTGATGACTTCAACGTTACGGAAATAATGAGGTAATGTCAGCTCTCGTGAGCCTGTTGCCTTAGCATCTGTGACGGGGTCAGGGCAGAGGGCTATAGGAGAGTGATAAAGGGAAATCTATTGGCCCTATAGAAATAGGTCCCTGTTCCCAATGTGGACTGCCAAGGACTCATCCAGAACCAGCAGCACCTGCTAGGACCAACCAGGCCAAGTAAGAGGCTTCCAGACGCAAGGGAGCCAGATGAATCAGAACCCCCGGGAGCCAAGTAAGAACCAGTTGAGCCTGGTTTCCAAGCTTCCCTCCTGTTAGCTCGGAGCGCGAGGAAGGGGCTGCGGAGAGACGGTGCTGTGGAGGGTCTGGCCGCAGAAAGTGCAAGCAGGTCCCAGGAGGAAGAGCCTGCGATGGGGAAGGTGCTAGGGAAGGCCTAGGGGAGGTGGCAGCTGTTACTGTCGTGCAGCTGTTGTTGGAGACATTTGCAGGCTGCTGCTTTCCCAGGGCCTGGGGCTGGACCCCAGAGTAGAGGGCAGCCTGGGTTCTCCCCTGTGCTTCCTTTTTTGTTGCCCCCCCGGAATTAGTTGGCGTCTGGGGCTCTTTGGGTCCCCCTGTAGGCTGGGGGAGGGTCCCGGATCCCAGTAGCACCACACTGAGGGGCCACAGAGACTGTGGAGTTGGGTTTCTCCTCTTTTCCCCATGCTGAGAGTAGCTCAGCAAGCAGTTGACCTGGAAGCATGGGACCCACCAGGATGGAGGGGGACTCTGTCACTCATGTCTTGCATGGGGCGGTGATGGATCACTCAGGCTCTGGTAAACTAAGAGCCACTTCAGCCACTTGCTGGGGTCATGAGTTGCTCTGAACTTCAATGAAATTGGGCCACTTAGACATTGAGGTAGAGCATTGAGGTGAACCACTGAGCCTAAGGGCTCACAAGTTCCTGTGCGGCAAGCCGGCGTTCCTCTACAGTGCGCTCACACCCCTGTGGGCACTGCCACAGGACAGTGAAAGGCAGCGGGGCTGGC